TGAACTCCACTGGAAGTTTCCGAGGTCATGTAATATTGGCCACTACACATCTAGATTAAAATTATATTCACATAAACTATACCAGAAAAAATTGATTATTAGGATATGAACTCTTTTAAAAAATTAATTGATACAGACTTAAATAATCCATTTATATTGTATATGCAAAATTTTCTCCTACATACATGCATATATAGTACAGAAATTTGTAAAATATAGTAGTATAAGTGCAGTGTATTACATATGGTACATTGTAGTTGATCAGCTGCAAAGTCAAAATGCTAGAACTTATAATTTTAAGTGAGCATTCATAATATTTTTTGTAAATTACTGTTTTGAATAGGTCATATTATGTATGCATGTACTTAATTATACAGTGGATTCACAGAAATTTATTATGCTGTCATTATTAAGCAAATGTCATGAGATTCTAATAAGATATAACAAAGAATAATGTTATGTCTCTGGTCGTTTGTTAATTTCCCATAAAAATTCCTTCCAAAAAACTTCAGCGATACAAGTCCTTTCTTAAATAAAACTAGTTTATTCTTTCTCAAAACAACTTTGCAATGCACTTAATTTCCACAGTCACTCTAACTTAAACACACGCTAGAATTCACAATGATTCACATACTTTACTTACGATTATCTGTTTCTGTATTTCTCTGTCTGCAATTATTCTCCCTCGTCACTTCTTGCCGGTCATATATATACAAAATAGAGGGCGTCTGGCAAACACTCGAGCCTTCACGAACGTTCTAGATACTCATTATGTGTTACCAGCGTCACGTGAATTCCGCTGTCATAACAGTACAAATGAAATACCTAACTATGGCACAATATGAATAACACATATATACACTATTAAGTGAAAAAATGATTAATTAAATTATAAGCCTACTAATACTAGCTTAAACTTCTTGTTTCAAAAATATGTTTATGAGCACCCAAAATGTGTAGCTGTTACTTACCCAGTGTATTTTATAACAGAAAAAATGTGTTAGCACATCTAAAAAGTGATACTTTAAATGTAAAAATTAAAAATTTAATACAACTAAATATGAAAATCAATAGAAATTACAGTATGATGTAAGTTGTGCCTTGTAATATTAATTTGTTTAGGCATACAAAAAAGCAAAACTAGTATTTAACCTCGTAGGTAGATAAAGAAAATATGCAAAATTTGTGCAGTAACCACTTCTGATATATTTATAATAATTTTGACTCCTTTTTTTTTACCCCGCTTGTTTCAGACTGCTGTGTTTTTAGCACCAGCTTCCTGCATTCCATTCTTACTCTTCAGTGGTTTTTTCATTACCTTCAAAACAATTCCTGGATACCTTCAATGGCTCTCCTACATATCTTATATGAGATATGCTTTTGAAGGCTTAATGCTGTCAATATATGGTTTTGATAGGCCAGATCTGGAGTGTAGGGATACTTTTTGTCCGTTTGTAGACCCATCAAATTTCCTGGAGTACATGGACATGAACAAAGTAAACCTGTATTTTAACATTATAATCCTTTGTATATTTTTTCTTGCCTTCCGCCTAGTGGCATATTTAGCATTAAGATTGAAATTGACATTTCATAAATAAGATATTTTCAGAATGGTGATATTTTACTTAATGTATGGTGGAGCTTCATTTTTAGCAATTATACAACATTCTTTACATACAAAAAGGATATTAATTGTATATGTCACATAGTTGTGTAAAACTATTTACTTAGGACAATGCTTTTGCTTTTTTCAAGTAACATTTTGTTCTGAGTTAATTATGCTTATAGGCTAAATTTTCTGTTTAGTATTGCATAAAGTTTTTGTTTTATAAGACTAATGTATATACACATGAATACCATATGATGTTGATCATAATATCTTTCTACATGTACCATAAAATTCTGCATCTTTAGAATGATAACAACTCCAACAGTCAATCATATTTTTTTAAAGCATTGGTATTGCCTAAGAGTTTTAAAAGACTTTCATATAACTATGTGAACAGTTACACTATACATTTAAGACAAGATGATGTAGAACTTGAGTAGTAAACTATTTTTTATCTGATGAATTGCATAAATTCTCTATGATCCATTATTATAAATAGATTTTTTGTTGAACTTTTTTAGCTTTACATTCCAGAACAATTTTATTCAAAATGTAGAACTTGAGTAACAAAGTTTTTTTATCTGATGAATTGCATGAATTCTCTATGATCCATTATTATAAATAGGTTTATAGTTGAACCTTTTTTGGCTTTACATACCAGAACAATTTTAATCAAAATGTAGAACTTGAGTAACAAAGTTTTTTTATCTGATGAATTGCATGAATTCTCTATGATCCATTATTATAAATAGGTTTTTTGTTGAACCTTTTTTGGCTTTACATACCAGAACAATTTTATTAAAAATGTAGAACTCGAGTAACAAAGTGTTTTTATCTAATGAATTTCATGAATTTTCTATGATCCATTATTATAAATAGGTTTATAGTTGAACCTTTTTTGGCTTTACATACCAGAACAGTTTTATTGAAAATATATTATGTAGAACCGAAATGTCCCTACATATCTGAGAATTTTATTGCCACATTTCCTGTAGTGGTTGTTATACTCTTCACTTTTATGAAATATTTTATCTTAATGTATTAAAATTCAATTTTATTTACAAGAAATATACACACAAAGTTCTAGTTTTTCATCTAGCGTGGAAGCTATTGCACAAGATGCAGTGTGAAAAATTTTATCCTGAATTCTGTTTGCTACTTTGTAACCACCAATGTATCATCAGTTACTATTATTTAGTAAGCTTACAATGCACATTTCTTTAAATTTCTGTACACTATATTTCTAGTGTCAAATTTTGAAATGTCACCAAAAAATGTCAGAATGATTAGTTTCTGACACACTCATTTCTCATCCAAACATCACTATCATATTTTAGAAAAATTCACCCTAAAAACAAATACTTTAATGTAAAATCCAGTCACTTGTGAATTAAACAATCCCTAAAATTTTATTGTCCAGTACAAAGTACAATTACAAAATTAACCCTATGTGCATGGATGGGGCCCAAAATGTGCATGCCATGACCTTTTAAAGAATGACATTCAACATGGTATTGTGTACTTGATGTCAGAGTTATCAGACACTGTACTCTACACTGGTAATTTACAATAGTTCATGGTGGAAGAGAGTTAATACAAGAAACAGTATTCAGGGACACTGAAAAATGCACAATTTACAGTTAAAACTCAACACTACAAGAGTACATAGTCCACTTGTTAATATTTCTGTTATACTTAAGATCCATTACTTTTTTACCAAAGGATCATAAGAATTTGATAAATAATACTTACTTTTTCTGTAAAATTACTTCATTTTACAAATATATAATTGTAGCCAATAATTATAGGATGAAAGATTGCTTTGTTAAGAATTCAGATTTTATGATTGATTAGAAGGTTGTTGAACATTTCACATGAATAATTAATTTTCCAATTATACAAAAACTTTTTCTATGGTATTTAATGTATTCCATAGTGTGGTTAAGGTTAATATTGTTTTTTTAGTAATAATTATACATTGACTGTCTTTGACTAAAAAATTTAAAGTTACATATTTTATTGGTTTTGCTTGTTAATTTAGTATGTCTGTTTTGTGTAGTTACTAATAGTCTCATGTTGTTATAAGTGTGTGTGTTTAAATGAACAAGTAAGCAGAGGGCTTGAATGCATGGTTCATTCAGTTTTGAATCTCTTGTAAATTTCTACTTTAAATATATTCCTCATGAATTGAACAAGCTACAAAAGAGCTTTATTATCTATTAGTTACCCCTGTATCACTCCCTGGGGATCCCTAAGGGTATATGCCAGGTTTGGTGGCACACACACCCACTGACTTTTGTCAAATAATAGTTTAGGAGATGTGACCAACTATTATTACACTACATATCCCTTACAAAATACATCACCTTCACCAGTTTCATGTTTAGTACTTTTGAAGTGTAATAATGTAACCTTAGTGACTATGAATTATTAAAGTTATTTAATATATATGTATACTTTATTGTTTTGTTTTATTTTTAGAAAATAGTGCTTATTGTTTCTCAAGGGCAAGCCAATAAATTTTTACCAATGGGACAAATACTTATACCTATAAGTTAGAAACTATCTATTTTTTTGATAGTATTAAGCATAATTTTGTGTTTATTCTTATTCAGTTTTAAGCAAACACCATAACTCTTTAGAAATGTAATAATTAAAAATCTTTAAATTTACCCAAGTTTCAAACGAAAAGGTGCAGTTTCTTTTTCCCTTCAATTAACCCCTCTACACACGTGCACATACAAACAATTTCACTGTATTTATACAAGTGACATGACCCAATCCTGATAGGGTCACATATTCAGAATTGGCCACAGTTAAACTTGGCTAATGACAGTTTCTAACATAATTTTTTTATTATTTTTTGTATCAGTTTAGTGTTTATTATATTACAATGGATTAATTTTGCATCTTTAACAACATATGTTATTATAATCATATACAGGCTTTTGTTATAATGTAATATGTTCATAAATTAATACACTGGTTAGTTTTAACATGTGGCTAACTGGCACTTTTTGTAGTGGGGTAATTCAAAAATAATCTCAGCTCAAAGTCATTTAGTCTTCACAAAAAGAAGAGGTTCATGGATCTAATATGCAACAAGACAAGTGAAGCAATTTGTTGTTGGCTAAATAAGAGAGTCAAGGCATGATGTTAAAATTCAAAATAAAACTATCTATTGAAGCAAAGGAAATTTAGATACAAGTGATAATCAGAGTGGTAGAACTGTTGCATATAAAAGAAATAAAGGAAGGAAATGTAAATAAAGTAGAAAAATGAATCTACAGCACATAGATCAGAAAATAGAAATATACACAGTGAAACAAATATGGAATTCCCACAACATGTCTTGGCTCTTTTAGAAAAATGAGCTGCTTTCCATAGGAGTTACAGCAAATCTCCTTTGAAAGGGCATCAGAATGTGGTCCATGTTGCAAGTTACTTAGGACACAATGCAAGTATCCCATGTAACAGTAAAGAAGTTCTTTAACTGGTCCAGCTACAAAAATAACATCACAAGGTGAATTTAGCACAGTATCTTAATTGGATTTAGAATTTTCCAAATTAGTACTTTAAAAAATGATAATTTTTTTAAATTTTGTGTATATTCTATAGGTGAGTAAGACATATTTGCATATTACACTGATATCAATGTATCTTACTGTAGCATTAATTCAGTGAATGGGAAGCAGTGAACATTTAAAAATAGTACAGTTTCTTGTGCTATTAACAAAATTGTTATGTAGTTCTGCACATGACACTTGCATTATGATGTTACATACAGGACTACTCATTCCAAATTTTTCTTAATACATCTAGAAGTAACACTTGAATTTGTGGTCTGCAAGTTGTTCAAGAAAACTATGTTTAAATTAAGTTTTGATAAGTCTGTAATGGATGGATTATGCAAGGAATATGTATAATGATTAATATAATTGGAACAAGTAAGTAAATGATACATATATATTTTTGTGTATAATGGTATAATTTACAAAAATATGTTACTGATGTATGTTTACATTGCTAGCAGCTTTGTAACCTGTATGTAAGTAAATAGAAATAGAAAAATGGATAATATAATTGTGACAATAGTTTGATTTGATTGATTTTTATGACATTTATAAATCATTTCATTTTAACATTTTTTATTTTGAATTTTTGAGTCTCAATGACCTGACAATTTGCCTGCTTAAAGATTTAGGTACTTTTATTATTTTTCAATCATTTTGATTCTTGGAAAGAAGCTTTGTTATTTTGTTTATTGTTATTATACCTTTGTCAAGAGGTAAAGAAGTTTAACAACCTTATTTCAATATCCATGTTATATATGTGTTTTTACAATGACAGTTATATGTATTTTGTAGGGATGCATGGGTACCTGGCCAGATACTCGGCCCTGGCTGGTTATTGAGCGACCTGGTAATACTCGGCTCTGGCCAAGTGTCAAATTAAAACATCCAAATCCGGGTAATTGAAAATGGCATCTATGCCCTAACCTTACGCAGTACTAAAAGTTACAGTCAATAATTGGTTTAGTTGATAAAATGTGTTCTGAGCAACAAAGACTGACCGCCCACTGAAAGTTGGGGATTCAGAGAAAAATAGAGGTTAATAACAGGCGTGGCTTGAGAATTGGATTTCTGGGGAAGGTGGGTGTTTGAGAACAATAGGGGTAAGAGTTGAGAAGTTGGGGCTAGGCTTTAATCGGAATAATGATTCTAAAATGTGTCAACATCACTTACTTTCACTGGCCTCACTTTTGGAAGTCAAATGAAGCTCAATTTCCCACAATGGTCAGGATAGCAAGGCATTATCTCTCCACACCTCCAACCAGTGTAGCCACTGAATGGGCTTTTAGTGCCACGGGCAACATTATCACACACGAAAGGTCAAGGCTTTTACCTGAAATCGCCAAAAATGCTACTGTTCCTCAAGTACAATTTAAACAAATTCCAAAAATACAGGCATTCTGCAAACTGGTATGCACATTTTTGTTAGTTAATTTTGAAAGTTGAAGGTAAAACTGGAATGCTCTATTGGTGATTATTTGGTTAAATGTAATAAATGTCAATTTTGTTTTTGTTTCTAATTTTAGTTTTTTTTGGGGGGGGGGTCGAAGGGAGAATCCAGTCCCAGTTGACACTCTGCCCCGGCCAAAGCTTAGTGACCCCGTATTCCTAGTATTTTGAGATACTTGTGATATTATATCATGTTACTTTTTTATTATATTTACATACATACATACATATATGTAACTTTTTATTTGGGTAGAAAATAAAGGAAATTACAACCAGTTGTGAACTTGAGCAGCAGTGTTTATAAAATCATTGAACCAAAGTTATGTAATCTTTACCATTTACTTACATTATAATTTTAAAACTGAGTGATTTCAAATGTTCAAGAATATACTTCGTGTACCCAATAACTGGTTGTCATTTTAACTGGTGTCAAACAAAAATTAAAGACTGCATCTCAAACATGTTATGTGGAAAGTTTCATAATAATAGAAGTTAACCATCAATCATTATTTCTCTGACAAAGTATTCTCCTCATCAAAGAATGAATCCCTGATTAATATAATATGTTTTAATATTATTGTCAACAATTTTTACTTTTGTTTTTTTTTATTACTTGTGATATTTCTCATGCTTTATCATTAGTATTTAAGTATTTGATGTTTTATTACCCTTACAGAAACTTGATTTGTTAAATTGCCATGATCAAAATTCAATGTATACTGACTATAGCATTTCAAATATATTGCACTCTCTGAAACTAGTGTTCTAAAAGTTTCTGTTGTTAGGCATTTCTTTTTTATTATTTGGTAAAAAAAAATAATGCAAAGTCCAATCCAGTTAACAAAAATAAAAACAGTTTATTATTACTTCACAAATACTGTTTCAACAAAAATTACAAATTTAATGATTGTCATAAATCACAGATGAAGTTAAACAGTCACTTCCAGAATCTCTAGTAGGTATATTAAAAAAAATTGTAAAAACGTAATAAAACAATCATTAGCTCAGTAGTCAACAACACGAGAAGACACACTAACTATCTGCTAGTGTTTTTCTATTGTTATAAGTTGTTTCTGATACTCTCCAGAAAATTATAGTCACTAGTTGAGTTTCATGCTCTTCATATGATGTTTAAATTAAAATATTAAAAACAGCTTACAATGCTGCCCCTCCCAGGATTATTAGGTCACTTAAACAGTCCTATTACACACACATTACATAATGATACATAAAACTTAACTTTCATAATTAGCAATAATTTAACTCTTTACAATTAACAAAATAAATATATTAATAAATAAGCATTAAAATCATTAATTGGTTTGAACAAATTACCATCAAAATATTGATTAACAATTTTTTTTCTTATTTCCATTCACCAAATCTTTTTGCTGGTCCTCTTTTTGATCTGTGGCTTATGGCATAATGATTGGATGATACTTGAAGTCCATCCTCTACTGGCGTAATTCTTGTATATTGCATGTGGATTTTCTGTTTGTAGGCTCTGAAGCTAGTCTAACCTCACACCTGTGTTACCAAATGAAGTCATTTTCAGTATGTATTATTCTGCAAGTCTCCTGTATTTCCTTGAACTTTCACCTAACCATACTAAAAAAGATATTGATTATGCATAAAATAAGTTGAAATACAGGTGTATTCTGGATAATAGATTGATTCTGCATGACAGTTCAACTCAGCATGAGTTACCAGGCAGTTGGTTTTGCACAATAGATTAATTCTGCATAATAAACTATCATATGAGTTGGTTCTGCATGATAGAACAATTGTATATATCAAGTTAAAATACGAATTGATTTTGCATAATTGATTGATTCTGCATGATGTTTCAACATAGGGTCAGATAAGCATATTTGGTAAATTCAGCATAATTTTTGCACAGTCCATTCTTAATGTTCTCTGTTCTGCATAATGCATGAAAAGAAATACATGTGTATTAAAAATACAATGTGAAACGACATTGGTCATGCATCTCTTTCCATGTAGACCTGACACAGCCTGATAATTCATTGTTTAACTCACAATCTATAAGTCGTGGGATCAAAACCTGGTGCCAAACATGCTTGCTCTTTCAGCTGTAGGAGTGTTATAAGGTAACATTCAATCTCACTATTTCTTGGTTAAAAAAAAAAGTATCCCAGGAGTTGGTGGTGGATATTATCAGCCAGTTGCCTTCCCTGTGGTTGATATTTCAAAATTAAGAATTGTGATAGTCTTACCATAAACAAAAATGATCTTTGTATATGTTATGAAGCTTTGACCCTTTCTGCAAACCAATATGCATAATTGATCTGTCATGCAGCTTTGGCCCTGTGTTAACTTGTTATTTAGAATCCATCCATTACACAGAATTAAGCAATTATGAAGAAATTGATTTATATCTTAACTCACTATGCATAATTGAGCTATAATAATGCCTAATCAATTTATTGTGCAGAATCTACATCTATTGCAAAATTTAAAGAAGTTATCCAAATTTGCAAGTTATTCAAAATAGTATTTCACTATACATTTCTCCTCAATTTTGATTATCCATGCATTGCTTAGAAAAGTTTCCAACAGTGAGAGTGACTTTCTTCTTGCTAAAATATTTTGACCACTTGCTGTTTACATTAGTCTGTCTTCATGCTTCATCTTTGGAGTTAATTTCTCACCTATGATTAACAAATCAAGTCAAAGAATTGCAGCTGTAGAACTAATGTCAATCAAAAGGCATCAATAAACCCATAAACTGGTTTCTTTAGATAATAAGTTCCTTATCTTTAATGATGCAGATGGATTATTCACATCCTCAGGATATTGTTTCTTTGGTTTATTATCAGTGACTGATTCATCATAATTTCAGGTGTACCATCCATGTTTTTCATGCTTATGTCAGTTTCCTTTTAAAGACTTGTATGTGCAATTGTTGATAATACATATTTACTTTTAAGATATGACCCAAACATCTCTACTTTGGCTTACTTCTGTTGTTAATAAACTGTCATCTAGTTAAAAGTTTTGTCTGCAGTTCTTCACAATATGCCTTTTTTATGTTATACTGGAAACACCCATTGTCTTATGGTTACTTCTTTCATTCTAAATAACCAGTTGTCTAATTTATCCTATCACTTCTTCTTGTGGGTCAACATTAAGTTTATATATTTTCAATGCAAAATCCAGGACTTTATTTCCCTAAAATGGATAGAGTACAAATAGCCCATTGAGTAGCTTTGCACTGAGAAAACAACAATTCATATACGCTTTCAGCAGATAGTTTGTTTTCACTCTGTGTGATCTAATGATTCTGTGACTTCTAGATGGTGAATTTAATTGTTTATGGTCAACTTTAATTGACTCAAGTTCTCTTGTACCCAACTGGTGAGATGTAAATCTACCTTTGCTTGAACATAATTTGCATATCTTCATCCACTATAGTGTCTATGAATTGGACAGGTGTCAATGAATATGTCATTTCTCATGTTGTTTTTTCCTTCATAATCTGTATCTTACCTGACTATCTATGTTCTGGAACCATATTAGTTAGTGACATAACTGAAGTAGGCCAGGGAGATTCTTAGTCATAGGCAGCCCAAAAGTTGTAGTGTCAGACATAGGCCTGTTCTGTATTTCATAATTAGTTATCTTTGGAGTTGGAATTCTTAGGCGCATGCAGAGAAAGGTGTAACGACTTTGGTCCAAGCATTTGCAAATTAATTTCTCAAATATTTTATTGTGTCATTGATATTATTTTATATGACTATTATAATCTTTCTGTGCTTTACAGATGACCTTTGTATTTCAATTTTGGCCCGGCATAGGCAGGTGGTTAGGGCGCTAGACTCGCAATCCGATGGTTGTGGGTTCGAATCCCTGTCATACCAAATATGCTCGCCCTTTCAGCCATAGGGATGTTATAAAGTGATGGTCAATCCCACTATTCGTTGGTAAAAGTGTAGCTCAAGAGTTGGCGGTGGGTGGTGATGACTAGTTGCCTTCCCTCTAGTCGTACACTGCTAAATTAGGGATGTCTTTGTGTGAAATTCTAAACAAACAAACAAATGATACTTTAATTTTTACTTTGCTAATGTCCATATGTACTTCATTCGATTTTTATTATAGTCTTTTTATGTACCTCCAATAACTTCTCCAATCTTTTTCAATGAATTATTTTTGTTGTTAATTATTCTATAAATCTTAAATCTCTTTCTTGTCTTGTAGTTCTTTTCTTAAATTCCTATCTCTTACCTCTTGATCTTTTACTTTCTGCTTCTTTCTTTGTTGGTCAATTTTCCATTTTTTCATCATCTTGAATTCTGGTCCTGATTCTGTTTTAGTTTTACCAAAATAATGCCACTCTTGATATCAATATTGTGACAGTTTTTATCATTAGGAAGGTTCTTTTTGATTGTTTGGTAAAAATGATGTAAAGTCCAGTCCAGTTAATGATAACGAAATTGTTTTATTGTGTGGTAGGTATTCCCCATTACACAGAATAATGGGAGGTCTACTAGAAACTGCATCATGGAACAAATCATCATAATACTCCAACCTTGTCTGTGTTCAAAGAAAGATAGAGATTGGATACAAGATAAAACACAATAAAGCAATCTTTTTTAACTCAACCAACAATGAAAGTGAAAATAAGTATATCTTTGGGTGCCTTTTTCTGGAGGGCTCTCGTGAATTTGTAATAATATTGTCTAATCTAATGCAAATCAGTTGTTCCAGACTGAAAATCCATGACATTATATACATGAAACCAATTCCATTCCTCTTAAAATTTTGGTGCTAACCACTTCAGTGATGGGCACTTTCACTTTAAAATAAGAAAGGTTGTATTTTTGAGGTATCACCTGAAATAGCAGTTTCAACACAAATTCTAGATCAATCTTATCTAATTCGCAAATAAAGCTAAGTAGTTACTTGCAGTAATTTTCGTAGATAAAGTAAAAATTGGCTAACAAACTGCCTAAAACACTAGTTAACTCAGTTTTTGACAAACAGACTCGCTGACAGTGTCATGGTGTTTTTATACTTTACTCTCCAGAAATGTTTTAGTCTCCGAGTAATTTGCTCATTAGGTGACGTTAAAATTCACTCTTGCAAACGTCTGAGGCTAAAGCATTTAAAACTTAGCCTACAGCACTTCTCATTCTGTAGTTGAGTAAATATTAAACTTAATAAGTTCTTACCATTATCAACAACCACTGATAAAAGCAAGCTGTATATTGTTACGTCTCTGTATGTTTGTTTGTTAATTCTTCTAACATACAAGTCCTTTCTTTATAAAACTTGTTTATTCTTCCTCAATACAACTTTGTAACGTACTTAATTTTCACAGTTACACACACTATAGTTCACAACAATTCACTCACTTTCTATCGCGCTTAGACTTAATTGTCCGTCCCTGCAAACTATAGTTCCGATCTCTGTGTCTGCTATCCTAAGTTCCCGCCGACCGTAATCGCTGTCTTTCTTTCTCTCTGCCTCCGTCTGTCTCTCTCACTGTCTAGTGCACTAATATACGATAATACTGCCTGTTCTAG